TATATTGGTTGGTGACTGGTCCCTTCAATAACAATGTTAGGGGGTGAGGAAAGAGCTTCTAAGCTTTTAGCTGTTTATGCATCACGTGAAGAAGTGGCAAGATTGATGGGAAGCACGAACTCGAAAGTGGAAGATAAGGGAAGCTTGTCGGGAAAAGGCAGCCAAATATGGTGAACCATTTCCTGCGGATGGGGTAAGGAAGGCCGTTGGGTTGACGAGTACACAGCTGCGCAGAAGTACGCCTCCATAGGATTTTGCCACGACAACGTCCTCTGCAGTGCCACCACAACTAGGAAGAACAAGTGTCCGTCGCCCTTTGTGGACCTATTTGAACCTTCATTTGATGCACAAGATCTTTGCGTGTCCAATGTGGAGGTCAATGATAACACGACCATAACTTTGTGCCATAGAAAGCGGACATCAGACCAGAATGATATCTCTACAAAAATAAAATATAATGAAAGAAAAAAAAAGCTTCCATAACATAGGTCATGAAATTACAGCCTTCCTGCCTAATGATGCATGTTATCATGGGTTACCTACAGCTACAATTGGGTTGAGAAACATCAGCCTATATCTGTGAATAAAGTATTTCATTCCACGTATCAGGAACACCTGGAAGGCACCAGTGCAAGCAATCATGCCTACCTTGCGAGGCTTTTATACCGTACCTGGATATGTGTCCCTCGTCCCTCAACAGTGACAATGCAGTGATGTCCAAAAGTTTTACTTCTGTTCCTCTCACTGCGGCCTCAGCAACAGGGTCACCGGAACCATCCTGTGAAACCTCACTCCCCACAGACAATGGAACAGTGTTATCGCAGCTTCCCCCAGAATTCCATTCTCCATTGACAAAATGCCTGGGAGATGATGCCCTTAGAAAAGCCTTCAGATGTGGAAGATGTGGAAGTCGTGAATCGAGCCACTTGATAACATTGTGGATGGTCAGATTTTTCGCATCTCCCATCGCTGCAAGCTTTGCTTTAGTATTTTTCTTTCCATCAACGTACATCTCCCATCCATTAGCTCTAAACTTCTCTCTGTTCCAGTGGTGTCCGGTGTTGAGTACGAGCACATCAAACCGATGAAGATACTTCCTCAAAAAATTTGCAGGTCGGTCAAGATGCATGGCGTAATTGGTAGCTGGATCTGAAACATTCAGAGGCTCCAATTCACATAAACTTGCAGACCAGTGATACAAAATAGTGGTATTGGTTTCTGGAAACCGATAAGCCCAACCACTGGGTCTGATGGCGTTGCGCGCTTTAGTAAATCCATACTCCTTTCCGACATCTTTTACTCTGGGATTTTTTCTCCCACCAGTGATCATGCACATCAGCGATTGAAATTGTTGTCTTCCCAAAGAATCCCCTACCAGAGCAATTGTTCTGTTCTGCATTCTGCAAACAGAAAATGCATGAGCAATTGATCGTTAGGAAATCTTGTTTGTAAGCATGAAAATTACGGTCTGAAACCAAAACAATGGCTCGCTTGATGAAAGATTTGAAGAAAAGCTAACCAGCCAAACATGCCTTTTTAGGAATTTGCTTCCAGAAAATTCGGGCATCTCACAACCTTGTGGTTGCCATCGAAAACTCTCATAGGAGAAATCAGTACGTTTCATCAACCTGCATGCCCACATGGGTGACAGCCATTGCTTGCATCCATGACCAGAATATAAAGGTCTCCTGTTGTCTGCAACCCACTTCCCCTTTGCATAATTACAGACTACAATAATGACCAACATCAAAATTTCAGGTTATAATGTTGGTTATAAATCAAATTCACTAGTGTGACAGGCAGGATAGAGAACAATAAGAATACAAAAAGTTAATACCCAGATTACTTATAGAACATGTAACAATTCACTACATTTAGAGCTCCACAGTTCTTTATCTAAAACCTACATTGGTAAAAATAACTATGACACTATCTTAGAGGGTGAAAATCATTATGAACATGTAATCTATAACTTATTATTGCATACCATTCATCAAAGGTATCGTTTTACGTTCAGTATCCAATCCTCCCTCTCTAGATAAGTTTCTTGCCGGAGAACCAATTGGTGAAAGACTAAGAATAGGTTTTGTTTCTTTAGATGGGTTAATTTCCACCTTTTCTACAACAGATAAGTCTTCATCTGCAGATTGGTGCTGATTTGGACCATCCGTTGAGTTCATGGAACGCCTGAGAGGAACCACTATTCATAAAAAGACAGTAATTAAGTTAAAAACAGATGTAAACAATGCCAAGAATTCATGAAAAGAAAATATGTGACATACCAGGAGAAAGAATATCAAGCTGTCCATGAGGAATACCAAGTATTGCAACTTTATTGCATGCCCAGATTACAAGAGTTGTACATATGAGAATAATAAGAGCAAGAGAGATTTTATTGCCTCTGACAGTGTTTATGTTCATGCCTTGCATCCCTACAGATATACAACAAAACCAAGTCTTTCTCTTAAATGAACTTTATGACTCCTCTCGGCTGCATATGAATCACTAAATGCCTTCCTTAAAATGCAAAATCTGCAGAGACGTGCAGCTGATTCAAAATAATGCAAAAAGATCCATATAAAACAAGAGCATATTATATTTGATATAACCAGCAAAGTATTGACAATAAGGAAAACATTAAAAAAAATAATCATACACTTTCTTGCTTATCTGTGACCTGGAAGACCAGGGTTAGAGTCACGGAAACAGTCTATTTAAATATTTAAATATAAGGTTACGAATATTGATCCTCCCCAAACCTCACATTGGCACGAGTCTCGTACTTTGGGTACGCTTATTATATTATCTTGCTTATGTAAAAGTAACAAGAGACACTTCTATTGAGATATTGAGAGCAAAATTTTTGTAGATACTCAATTTCCTAATGCCATTTTCCAGAAAGTAGGAGTTTATAGGATATGGTACAGAGACAAATACGGCATCAAAGAGAACAAATTGACAAGTTCCTAATATTAAATCCAAGTGTACAAGAGCAATCAGCAAAAGCAAAATAGGATCAGTTTCCTCATTGTATAGCAAGACTAAACACAAAGACAATCGTCTCGAACAAAATGTTGATACCGTATCCAATTCCATATCAATATAGAAAGGGCCAATATTTAGATATACTGAAGATGAAAGGAAAGGCAGAAGAGAAGGAAAAATGTACAATGAAGACTAGAGGAGTTACCTGTGCTGATAGGCTCAAACGATCATCCTATCCAGTGAAAAGATATACGACAATCCGAGTATTGTGGTGTGTTCTTTGTCAGCAATGCTTTGGAAGGAAAGAGGAGACGGGATGGAATATTACTTTCCCTTACAAACTTTCTAATTTATCTTTCTCTTCTCCTCTGCCTGTTCTATGTTTCTACATATCCATATCATCAAAATTCTGATACACAAAAAAAAGAATTGCTCTTATGAACTGTATTTTCTTGGGGAAGGAGCAAACTGACAGAAAAACATATATGTAAGACTCTCAATCTCATAAAGCAATAAAAAAAAAAACCAACTCAACAAGGAAAAAAAAAAGAGATCTACTACGTCTAATGAAATAGAGATTTATGCCTAGAAGTAAATAAAAATTCGAGAACCAAGCATGCAGAATGGGTAGGTTGAGCCCAAATCCCAGAGATTCAAATCGATATTATTAACCTTAAAACTCTCATTTAACCTTAAAACTCGCATCTTGAACTAAGAAACAACCTAGAAATGACCACCAAGAAAGAAAGACAAGTGGATGGGTTACTTCTGGAGCAATTCGTGGTAAAATAGACTATTACTTGGGAAATAGTGAACGTATGCATCACTCAAACGAAAGATTAGGATACCTGATCAGAAAAGAAGCCTTTTGTTCTCGTTCCAGAAGTAGTCCTTTCTCCCATCAAAGACAAGAACAACAGAGAACACAACCAGAGAACAAGAACAGAACAGTAAAACGACAACTTCATACCTTAGATCACTAACACCACAACCAAACTCACACCAACTGAGAAAAAAGAAGCAGAAAACAGAAAGCATATCGCTGAACAACCTTAGAACAACACCCCAACCAAGGGAAAGAATCATCCTGAGATGGAGTCATAGAAAACAACAGCTGACACCAATTGCATGTTCTTGACTGGAAAAGACCGACTCACCAGAAGAGGCGGCAACGGATAGCCACCCACCTCGTGACGGAGCAGCGGCGATGGAGTGAACGGCACCGGGAAGCAAGGGGGACGGAATCGGAGGCGAGAGAAAAGGGTGGGAAATATCTCGTCGCAAGTTCACCTATACACGAGGAGACGCCATTAATGTTCCAACAACACTGACGCCTTACGGTGACGCTTCCATCAAACGGACAGGACACACCCAGCCATCAGAACGGACGGACATGATTGATCTACCTAGAATTTTCAATGCAACGTATATTGATGGAAATATCGGACACGACGGATTCAATGCATTTACATTTTCTTAAAAGTTGCACACTTGGATCTTTCATATGGTCTTTATAGCTCTAACACGCTCTCAATCAATATTGAGCTCTTCCTCGAGATTAATAATTGTCAAATGTTGGTATTCTGGAGTGGGTTTTGTGCTTTGTCATGATTATAATATATATATATATATATATATATATATATATATATATATATATATATATATATATATATATATATATATATATTACCATCATGAGAGCCCATTCATTAACTGTTGAATCCACTAGTTCGTTTTGAGCATATTGAGCCCATTAGTTACTATAGTTGGGCTCAGATCTGTCCAATCCCGAATCTTTTGTCCATCAGCACTCTATTCTATTGGAAGGAAATGATGGGTGGTGGAGAGACGACTCATCATCTATAGAAAACGGATGGTCAGGAATCAAATTGGGGATTTTTGTCGATTTCGTTTGTCTATCGTGGCCCACGAGGATATAGACCGGGCCCACCACAGAAACTATACATCAGGCAACTCAGATTGCTCCAAGTTAGTAGGCCCGTCATCGACGCGTGCGGACGAGCAGTCAAGCATATCGCACTCCTTATGAGGGATGCTGATGTCAGGTTTCTGTGTCGCACGGGGAGTGGCGGTACATGACATTGCTGATTCCTTTTATGTTCTACCTTGTGATTCTTCCCACTTGTTTGTTTCTTCTTTGAATGGATTGGGTGAAGCGGAGGGCGGCGGATGACGAGATGGCGTTGGTTCGGGCGGCAGCGTGGGCGTGGTACCAGCAGGGATCCGGAAAGGTCGTCCGGGAGTCCGACGACGGCCGGCGAGTCGGCGTCGATGCCGCCCGAAACATGCCTCGGCCGTCCCGCTACAAGCTAGAGGCGCTCGCCGCTTCAAAAGTCTGCCCGGCCATCGCCTTGCTCGACGTCTACGATGTCGAATGGATCACGAGGGAGCTGGATCGTGTCACCATGGCGAGCAGAAGCAGCACGGGAGGTGGAGACCGGCACCGGCGGAGTGCGAAGGACGCGGCTGCGTTGGAGGGGATGAGGAGGGCGAGAGGATCCTGGGCGCGGCATGCGGTGGATATATGCTGGTCGAAAGGGGACGTAGTGGAGGAGGCAGCACTGTCTCCGCGCCGGTGGAGACAGACGCCGATGACTCCGGTGTCAAAGGAGGTCAAGCAGCGGTTCCGTGGGAAAGGAGGAGGCGGCCACTGGGAGTCAGATAAGGTGTAATTCGTTGATGCCGGAGGAATGGAAGGAGACATAATTAATATATTCTTGCTGATTGTCTGCTACTTCAAAAGGATGCCATCAGTACATTCTCTTGTATTCTTATGTGTACATTCTTTGTATTCTTGTAGATTGAATTGTCGAAATATTAATATAAAAAAACTCCAAATATTAATATATTTGCTCTCAAGATTTGTTGGTGTTTGTCTAGTTTAGTTTGGAAGGGAAAAAAAAAGACCCATATTTACTTTTATGCTCAATATATATAAAATTATTGAATGTTAAACATTCTTTTAGAGAAGTATGTATTATGATTGAATGTTGATATTATTTTATCTAATTTAATTAAATTAAATAATTTATGATTATTTTAATTGATACATCAGTCTCCACTCAAATATTAATGAGATGAGGACGGGAGGGTCCATATCATTAATATGATTTACATATCTAGAAAAGAGACAACAATAGAATCTCAATTAATTAATATAATAAATGCAGCCATTTTGTGATTCAGAGAGAATCTCTAAATTGGCAAATCTGTACGTTCATTCTCATAAACATAAACAAGCATCATATGTGTTGTTATAATTCAATAGACATGCACGCTCATCCTCCTATATATATGCATGCATGCACGTATATGTGCATAATTGGTTTCCATTTAAATCATTCCGCATGTTCATGCATGCTCATATACATGATTGCCCATTCATTGATTTCTTGAATTTTGTTGGAATCAATTGGTGTCATGCTGCTGCTATCTTCAATTTTGTTGTTCAGTGCAGTACACTAATACCGAACCCTAATTGGAAAATCACTCATCATGTGTTTTCAGCTGCTGCTACTACTTCTTCTTCTTCTCTTCAAGGGTTTTCCATTCAAAGAGGAAGCAATCCTGCTAAGTTGGTGTTTTCGATCCTTTCTTTTTTTACGATCTTCTTCGATTTTTTCAACAATAAGAGCTTTATTGACGACTTCGATATAGGTTGGCAATTGCAGGATTGCTATTCGGTCTCGAATGAATGATCTTAGTCCTCTCTCAAAATGTCTTGCCATTTGAGCATCGTTGAAATTGATGTGTTGCAGGAAGTCAGATAATTTAGTGAAATGATTGTCGTACTCAGTTACAGTCATGCTTTTCTGTCGGATGCAAAGGAACTCATGCTCTTTTTGTTGCTGAATGGAGATAGGAAGATATTGCTCGTAGAAGGCATCTTTAAACTCCTTCCAAGTGATATTTTTTCCTTCTTCTTCAAGTACTTTCTTTTTGGTGATCCACCAAGAGTCTGCATTTTCTTCTAATATAAAAGAGGCCAATGGCACCCTACGTTCTTCAGCACATTCCATAACCTCAAAGGTTTTCTCCACTTGTCGTATCCATCTTTTGGCTAATAGAGGATCACGCTTGCCGTCAAAAGTAGAAGGGCAAAGCCTCTTAAATTGTTCCAATTGTGAGCTAGCAATTTGTTGACCATGGTGTTGCGATAAAATATACTCATTCATGGCCTCCATGAAGTGAATTATAACTTGAGATGCATGATTAAATCCATCACCACCCTCCCTATTTTCTACCGGTGTAGTAGCAGACTGATCTTGCTCATTTATATTAGGGATCGGGGGAGAAGCATAACTAAGATTCATATCAAAAACTTGAGGGTTGTGCGTAGTAGAATGATGATATCCATTTGGCAACCCATTGTCTTGAGTGGGGTTTCCCTCGTTACCAACACTGCGGTTCATTTTTCCTACAATTTATTAACAAAATATTATATATTATAATAGAAATCCTAAAATTTTACGACTTATATAATATATAATATTATATATATTATAATAGGTTTCATTAATAATTATAAATATTTTTTAAATTATAATATCTAACGTAAGCTACTGAACAAATAAGGTATTTGTTTAAAAATAATATCCACATGTTTGATTTATTGCAACTAATATGTGCATAAGATAAATGAAGTCTAAGTAACTCATAGATAATAAAACTCCATATTTCCATCTAGCACAAAAGGAAAATCAATTTCCCTCACTTTTGCTACTTATCATTTTAAATAACTACAAAAAAAAAAAAGACCAACTCCATGCTGAGTAGAGTGCTTCAAAAAATTAATAAATCATCATCATCTTAAATTGGACAAAAAATAATCATAACTAACACTTAAAGACTTATTAATATCGTAATGATTTATAGAGTAATACCTATCGCTCGTTAAAGTAGAGAGATATTCTTCTTAATAATGGATGAATTCATCTACCACTAAATAGGCCAATCTACTTTTATCGAGAAAAGCTCATTGATACTAAAAAGAAGATATTCATTTATGAGAGATTAAAAAAGAAAAAGTAGAAGAATAATCTCACGTTCATAAATATAAAAAAAGTTTGAGAATCTAAGATCTCAAACTTTTGAATTAAATTAGAATGAGTAAAAAAATAGATAAAAAAAAGAGAAAATGGTCTGAATGATTGAAAAAGAAAAAGGAGAGAAAGAAAGATCCCACAATCTCAATCAAATAGTTTAAAATTTTGGATTGAATTGATGTATGACTCATGTATTTTAATAATGACTAGTTTTACTTACTCATTATTAATGTATAAAAAATATGTAAGAAAATAATACAAATAATGTCTAATGGTAATATATATCAACACATTTACAACTAATTTCTATTTCTAAAATTAAAATTCAAAATTCTTGCAAATAGGGTCAAAGCCAAAATCAAAATTAAACCCTTAACCAAACTCAGTGTCATATAAATTAATTAAAATAAGAAAATCCCAAAAATGATAGGATGGATAACCAAAATCAGTCAACTACGAGTCTTCTTAAACTAAACAATAGTAAGGTTATTCATATCTTAGTCGAGTCAACCTTCCTATGATCCATGTTTGTAAAGTTCCTAAAGGGTTGTACCATCTTCTTGATTGACTGTACTCGAGTCTTAGATCAATCAGGCAATAGGCTTTAGTTAACTTCGACCTGAAATTGACCCGATCTTGGCTTCCACAGTTTAGGTCCGAGTCAGACTAGCCTTGTGCAGGGCAAGTCTTGAACCAAGTTTCTCTTTTCTTTTTATTCCTTAATAATTTTCTTAATTTCCAAATCTTAGTAAATTCTGCAAGTAATTTAATTTTCATGATGTAAAAACAATTAATTGATCTAATCTCATGATAATCATATAATTAATTAATATAGTTTTCATGATATGCAAACAATTTCATGATAGAGGTATTATTAAATAAATTAGTGTGAAATTACGTCATCAACAAACCATCCCTATTCAGTTTATGAAAAATCAATTTGTTTTTGAATAAAAATATCCTTGAGAATAACACACTAAATTTCATAATAAAAAAAATCAGTAATTGTGAAAACATGAAATATGAACATCCTAATATTATTAATCTATAAAACTAAACTTATAGAACAGAGTTACCATGATAAAAATATACATGAGAACGTCTTAATATCATTAATCTATGAAACTAAACTTATAGAACAGAGTTATCATATTTTTTTTATTTTGACATGTTACCATATATATATAATATTTGATACAATTAAGAAAACAAAATTTTATGAAGATGACTACCTGATTTCTGATGGTGATGATTCTCCTCTTCCTTCGTAATAACCTAAACTTTCGGACTAAAAAATAATGCTAGATGTGAAGGGTAAACAAGGGTTTATATAGAGGGCAGATTATAGGTTTAATTTTAGTAGGACCATAACTCTTATCCCTTTAGCTACATGTAATTTTTATAGATAATATTTATTTTATAAAAATATAAAATATAAAAAAAAATAAAATTCATGGGATATGGAAATTCATAATATAATTTTTACCATAAATGCTCGAAAGAAGGGTGTGATATAAAAATATAAATATATTTGGAGATTGATATATATTTTAGATTTCTAAAACTAGTGTCCCTTTCATAAAAAAATTTCATATGAGATAGAGTGCTGTTGAAAGAAGAAAATCCTACCATTTAGGTTTGGCTTCTTTATAAATATTTAATGTCATCTATGTTTTGGTGGGAGAAAAGCTTATAACAGATGAGGAATACTTTTAAGTGTTCTAATTGTATGATATTTAAAGGTAATTATTTTTAAAGAACTCAAGGGTCTTGTGATTAATCTCATTGATGAATAATTTGATTTTATGTCGATGTAAGCTAAGAATGTAGATGATATGGTAAGTTCTTCCCCGGTCCCCGTTTGGTCTCATCCTTCATCTCTATCTTATTCTTCGTTTAGATAGGATGAGAAACCTATGAGTTATTTATATTCTCTTAATTAATTATTTTTTTAAAAAAATAAAGTTATTATCAAACTAATTAATTATATTAAAATTTATGAATAATAACAATCGTTAAATGTTGAATTCATTTCTCAAGCATACCTACCGGAGTGTTACCTTCATTTTTGCCTCTATTTCAATTTTATATTTAATAAATCTATTAAAATTTTAAAATATGATTTTTTTAAAAAAAGTTAGATTAATATATCGAATCAAAAAATTAAGTGAGGCAAAATTTAAAGAAAATATGACACTAATATAAAAACATAAGGCTAAGGTCTATTTTAACTTTTATGATTTTTGGTTATGGACATCTTAAACCCTTATGGTTTACTTGTGTCTAAAATAACATCTATATTTTTTAAAACATAACACATAAGCCCTTCTCGTCAAGTCTGAGTTATCAGATATTAGTGTATGCTTACATGACATGCTAACTCATAATAAATCATTAATATAATGATACATATAATTTAGGGTTAAGGTTCATTTTAGCCCATATAGTTTTATCCATTAACCTCTTAAGCCCTTATGGTTTACTTATGTCTAAAATAACATATATATTTTTAAAAATATAGTCTATAAGCTCCTCCCATTAAGTCTGAGTTAACAGGCGTTAGAGTTTACTTAAGTGACATATTGATTCATAATAAATTATTAATATAATAATATATAATTTAAGTTTTAAAAAAACTTATTGATTCATAATAAATTATTAATATAATGATATATATAATTTAAGTTAAAAAAAAAACTAAAACCTCCATTAATGATGGGAGGAGGCATCATTGTGGAAGCGACCACCAATAATAGCACAGAGTCACTACTACATAACAAGGCATCATATACATATAGCCTCTCACGCATTGATGACGAGCTCAGAAGCTTTTGGATATTACTCGTTAGCTCCAAGGTGCATGCCACAATGTGGTCGATCACAACGCTGCTTACCACCACGAATGACACATGCTTCGATCCCGACAAATACCATTATACCTTATAAGCCACCTCCCCCGTGAAGCACTACATTGCAAAGATGAAGAGTAGACGAAATGAGCAATTGAGTTAGTCCATGTAGCCCTCTCGCACACACTTGCTCTCCTTGATAAGCGATGGAGGTTGTAGCTGTAGACGAAGGCAAAGAGGCAGAGGTAGGAGAGGCCAGAAGCGGAGGTGAGGGAGAATTGGATCACCATGTTGTAGGCATGATGAGTGGGGGCACAAGAGAAGATGAAATGAGAAGTGGTGGGGATGAAAATGCTCATGAGGAGGAAAAGGGACTAGGAGACCACTGCATGCTTATCGTCGGATTGGCCAACCCACATCCACCTGAGGCAAGACTAGAAGCTCCTTTGCTTGTCATTAACACGGGAGAGGCTACGTGTGAACAACACCCTACTAGGCAGCAGCAACTCGATGCTGTTGTTGGTGGTCTCTTCCAGAATGATGCCTCCTCATCATTGATAGTTGTCTTAATTTTTTTAAAATTTAAATTATACATATCATTATATTAATGATTTATTGTGAATCAATATGTCACGTAAGTAGATTCTAACGTCTATTAACTCAAACTTGATGGAAAGAGTTTATATGCTATATTTTTAAAAATATATGGGTTACATTAGACACGAGTAAATCATAAGGGCTTAAGGACTTAAGAGGTCTATGCCAAAATCATAGGGGATAAAATAGATTAATCCTAAATTATATATATCATTATATTAATAATTTTTTGTGAGTCAACATATCACGTAAGCATACTCTAATATTTAATAACTTAGACTTGATGAGAGATGCTTATATGCTATATTTTTTAAGATGTAGAGATTATTTTAGATACGAGTAAATCATAAGGGTTTAAGAGGTCCATGACCAAAACTACAAGGATCAAAATGGACCTTAACCCAAAAACATAATATAATTCACTCATTTGTGTCTAATTAATAAAACCAAATAATACTATGTATCGAAAGCTATGAAAAATAAATGGATCGTATAATTTGAATTTCATAATTCATATGTGATAATAAAGGCCAAATATGGTAAATCAATGATATCGATGGAAATAAATAATATGATTCACTTGCTCCGTACGTGAAAATTTTAGTTAAATTATGAAAAAAAAAAAAGACCCAATGGAAATTCTTGATGCGATTCTCTCACTCAACATCAAACAAATGCGGCTATGGTTTGTGATATAATATAGAGACCCGTGGCCGCTTATTGTTGCGTACCACTACTAGTTTTTTTTTATGTTCTTAGCTATAGTTTAGAACATGGGTGTTCGTAACAGGTCAAAAGCATCCAACAATCACTAGGCAGCACTTAATTCTCACTTGTGATGTTCTAGTTCAACCCTATAAGTTTATAATAGTTATTCGATCTTTGCACTTTGTTTTCTCGAGAGTATATTAATTATGACAAATAGAATATTAATTAACAAACTCTAGGCCAATAATAAGTCGGGATAAGTTACAAAATATTTTTAAATAATATTTTTTAATTAAATTAAATGTATTAAAATATTTCCTTTTCAATATGTTCATATAATATTATTACGATAGATTCTGCTTGTTTAATCTGTCAGGGGGTTTAGAGGTCATCGGAATTGTAGTGATTCGAGCTAAGACCTTATAAAAACTACGTTGGAGGTATATCCGATAAGATTCATTCGCTTAGGTTAGTAAGAATTTGAAAGGTTTGATCATATACTAAGTTCAAGATGAAGTAGTTAGCAAGATAACCTTGAGAGTATACTTGGGGGTATTTTTATCGTGTAGTATGCAATCAATAAATCGGGATTGTTAGTTTGGCAAGTCCCACATTGGGAAAATCAAGTTTGTTATCTCATATTGTAACTATAAATAAGGGCCTGAATTTTAAAATCAGAAGCACTACAAAGAAAAATCTAATTGTTTGCTTTAGATTTAATTTTTATTAAGTCCATACTTAGTTAAAATAGTTTGGGTAGTTTGGACTTTTTTTGTTTAGTAGTTTCAGGTATTTTATTACCTATTCGTAAGGTATTTATAATTGTCTCTTTTATAGTAGAGTTTTACCATTTGTGGATATAGGTCAATTGATCGAACAACATAAATCTGGTGTCCTTATGGCTCTAACGGACATCATAATTAATGTTGAAATAATTATATACACGATTCAATCAAGTAGAGTCAGAGTATTAGTCAAGTGAAGATTATGTCAGTTAAATAAAATGATAGTATCGACAACTTGACAATTCATGTTTTCCTTATAAAGTATTAAATTATTCCTTATAAAGTATTAAATTATTCAACCAAATTTTATCATGTATAAGTATTAGTAGAATTAATTTCCAACTCATTTATACTAATTCTTAACATTTTTTAATTTCACTCATGATTTTTTTCTCAACCACTCAACTAATCCTATTCATATTTGTCTCTCTCATTGGCAAGACAGCACAAGACTTCAAGCGGTTCACAAGGAAACGTGTGGGCGTGCTGTCCTTGCACAACGCTTAAAGCACGATGGACGCGGATGATGACACGACATACACGACAGAATCGAAGTCCTTAACCCAAAGACGAACTTGCATTACAAAACCTGTTCTTACCCAAACCATAAATGCAACAATCTCAAAAGACCAGTCTTTCCTCTCACTTTTAGTCACATAAACAAGAATAGGAGATCAATATTCATGAATCTTAAGCTGTTTCCATAGGAAGTTGGCTATCGACGTAGTTATTATATATTTCTGTAAACTTCTCAAAATTGCTGTCGCAAGTATTTTGGAGGAAGAATTTGTGGTAAAGAACACTCAGAAGCAAATAACAAGAACAATTTCTTTGGTGATGGCATATAGCACTCAACAAACACATTACAGAACTCGAAACGAGCAAAATCTTTGCACTTGGCTGCCAACAAGACCAACAGAACAAGAACAAGGCAGCAGATTGTAGGGAAATGAACCAAGACTAAACATTCACAATATCGAATCAGGACAATCTTGTTTGTACCAAAAAAACAAATAAAAGACAGAATCTTGCACAATTTGCTCAAATTTTCTGTTCACATGTTGCCGCCAACATTATCTGACAAAATATATAACAATAACAAAAGATGAGCACTAGTGCCAAGAATATAACAACATTAAATGTAAATTTCATATACTAATTGATTTAGGCCACTTCATCATCAAAAGGAAAAAAATAAGCAACTTCAAAAGTCGGCCCACAGTCTCACTCATAGGCTTCTTCCCAGTCATCCACCTCTTCATGCATCTCTACATTACCAACAGCAGCACCCTGTTCAGTAGAGACCACACCATCTGTTTCAGGTGATCCACCTTTCACACCAGAAACCATGATCCGGTCAGCAGCTGATTCTGTGGACACTGAATTCATAGTTGTCTCAGAATCAAGAACACTCCATGGGTTTGATGAAGTCGAGATAGGTGCAGCCTCCGTCGGCTTCCAAGAAGGCACTGTGGCATCAGCCCCAGAAGACGACCACTCCCCGCCCCAAGAGTCTGATTCAGAGGAAACAACCTTCTTCCATGAATTGCTGCCTTTTGAAGCAACTCCACCCTCTTTAGGTCCTGTTCCCCATGCATTAAGCACTGGAAGACTAGAAACCACAGCCGCACCCTGGTAAACTGATCCATGATCTAACCGCCTCAGTGCAGTTGCAGCCCTTGCTGGGTCACCAAAAACAGCTAACGCATTCTTGTCATTTAACCATACCAGCTCACATTCCCCACCAAATCTTAGCACCAATGCACTTATATCTGCGTCCCGAGGCAAGTCTAGCATTGAAACTACAAGTCTAGGCTCCATGTCGACTAGAGGATCAAAAGCCGGAGGTTGAGCAGTTATTGGAACACCAGGCTTGAAGCCCAATATCCGAGCTGGTGGTCTAGACTTGGGCGTCACATGTACTACAAGAAATCGCTTTGGCTCCCATCCTGCTGCTTGGACTGCAAGTTTCCATCTCTCTGCTATGTGTCTAATTGCGTCCCTCTTCTCTTTCAACATGGGGCAAAAGACATGTACCTTAAGACCTCCCGATGCACCTTTTGTCTTTCCAAGCACCAAGAACTTGAATCTCTCCTCCACAGCCAACACCCACTTTGGTTCCCGCCTGAAAAGGTCAGAAAGCAATTCGGAGGCTGTTGAATTCTCACCAAAATGCAAAGCATCCAAATTAGGAGGAGTTATGTCAAATGCCTCTGCAAGGACACGTTTCCTCTCCATCTTAGCACACTCATCATCACAAGAAAGCTTCCTCTGGCCAAGAGGGATCTTCTTCACATTGGCTTCCACTGGCTGCAACGGAACATGAAGCTTCTGAAGGATAGATGCTTCTAGCACAGTGTCCACATGAAACCCACTGCTGCTGCCTCCAGCACTGCAAGGCACACTAGCGGTAATACGGCCACAAGAACAAGTTATTGTGACTGGGAAGTCACACCTAAGATCAGGGCAAGGCTCTGAAGGATGACATGGAGCACTGCAAGTGTGCTTGCAATCTCTCCTCGGCGCACCACAGACCTGCCCACAAGAAGACTTCGCACCAGAACCAGACCCTGAAGCAAACGAAGCATCACATGGAGGAGGATGACAAGTCCTACCACAAGCATGAATCCCACATTGCCGAGTCTTGCCACAGAGTTGATTGCACCTGATATCCTTGGATCCACATGGTATGTTCCTCAACAACACATGCCCTCCAACACATTCCTTTGCAACTGGCACTGAGCATGGAGGACAATCCCCAAAATGGCAGGTGTGGGAAGCAGGATGGCCACATGGTTGGGGAACCAAGCAAGGATGGGGGCACGATGGTGCCGGGGTACCACAGGGAACTGGTGGTGGGATTGATGTCTTTCCGCAAGCACACATGAGATCAGTGAATGTGGTTTCAAGACATGGCGGACAGTGCCCGCTGTGGCACAGCAACTGGCAAGAATGTTGCCCACACCGGAGCCTCTTTCCGCAAGGCATGGAGCACAAGTGGGGGTCCCAATCGCTGCCTAAGAGCTCCCCACCAGGTCTAGAGAGAGGACAGCAACGCTCATTGCACCGGTGCCTCCCACAATTCTTTTTCTTACCACAGGACTTATCACAAACAAAAATTTCTGCATCCCTGGAAACCTTGTAACACTCCACTGTCCGATTTGAGGACCGACACTGGCATCTCTGATCGACCAGTACCATACAAGGAGGGCAATCTCCCTCATGACAAATCTCTCTGCACCTATGGATCCCACAAGAAAGGACCTTTTCACAAAGTCCAGAACAAGTAGGAATCGGATCCAGGCAACTCTTCCTTCCATTCTCCAATTTGGTCTTTCCACAATAACAACTCTTGATCTTCTCAGGCAGTAACTCGCACTCACCACAGGGCCCCGGATGGCATTTCTCTCCGCAGAAATGGTTCCCACAAGAAAGAACTCGACCACAGATAGAATTGCAAGAGAATACCCCATCTCCAATAGTTTGGACATCACCCTTCACCACCATATCACCACAAAGAACGATCTCGATCTTCTTATTACAGAAGCAAGAAGCTGTGACAAGTACCCGGCAGGGGCTGCAAGCGCCGGTGTGGCAAATCCGTTCGCACCTGTGACGGCCACAAGAAAGGAGACGATCACACTGCTGCCTGCAGGTCAAGGGACTTTCTCGATCGGAGCACCGCCGGACGATCGTCTTCTTGCCGCAGGGGCACGGCCGACGTGGGGCAAAGGCCTTGCACGGTGGGCACGGCCCAGGATGGCACTGAAGAACACACACATGGGGACAACGGAACTCATCATTATCAGCATCGGGAACCGCTGGAGTCCGGTCGAGAGGTTTCCGGCAGGGTCCACCGCAGGAGTGGGGGGTGAGGTAGAGATCGTTCGGCGGATCCCCTCGGCTGCCACAGAAGCAACTGTAGGTGAGATCCTTGGCGAGGACGGATTGTACCGACTGGCATCCGGGGCACCGCCATCCGGCGCGGTCGCCACTTCCGTCTACTGAGGCGGATGGGGCATCGGAGGATGTAGGGGAGCGGGCCCACTTCCGAATGCAGTGAAGGTGGAAAATGGAATAGCAGCTGGAACACGACCAGATCGGGGCCGAGCGCCGCACCATATCGTAGCAGATCATGCACTCAACCACCCCCCTCGCCAGCTTGTCCTGGATCTCCTGGACCAGCCGCGGTAGAGAGGGATCCGATGCGTCATCCGAAGGAGCCGCAACGGTTGGCGGCAGAGAAGGCCGGGGGATATGGGCCTGGCGGGGCCGATGTCGGTGGGCAGGTCCGGCCGCTGCCGGAGCAGTGGGACGGATGGGGTTGGCGGCGGCGGGGGCGGCGGTGGAGGCAGCTACAGAAGGAGCGGAACCACGGGGGACCCACTCCTGGCGGTTCCCGCCAGAAACGATGGGCCGGTGGTGGATGCGGCCTCCGGAAGAGCCGGAGGCTGGCCTACGGTCGTTGCGGTGATGGTGTTGGTGGTGGCTGTTATCGGCAGTGTCTGGCCGCATCGTCGGACTCACGGTTATTGCAATGAAACCCTGGACCTCCGGTCGTTCTCCTATCTTGGTTGATAACAGAGATGCAAACCCTAACCCTAAGGATAAAATTCTAATCGGGCGAAGGGGGTAAACAGAAACGAATATGATACACGAGAGAAGGATGACAAGAGGCTATTCCACCGACGCCTCTGTTTCTGAGGGATCGGAAAGGGGAAGGAGCGGGCGATCGATATAAGGGAACGGGAGACTTGGGGAAGACGTAAAAGGGATACGGTGGGTCGGCGATCGGGACAGGCAAATGGCTCGCCCTTGTGAGGATGGACATCTACCGTTGGATTTCGTGCTTTGATCTGAGAGATCGCGGCATCGAGGAAGCATTTATCCTTTGTGTGTTTAAAAATAGTTGCACGTGGTCAACATTGGATTTGATACGTGTGTGGTGCGATAAGCTGCCCATCGCAACGCACTTTAACTTGGGAAACAAGCAAAACCAAACCCATTTCAGCCCAATCGTGTGGTATGTTGGGTTTAGCGATGATTGAGATGGGCCATGAGAAAAATGTTTCGGGTCTGTCTGTAATTGACTTACTTGTTCCACAGTTCAAGTTTTCTTTTCTTTTTTTCTTTTTCGTAACCAAGAGTACTAAACAAAAACATTATAGTTTGAGTATAAGTTTTTCACACACATATCACATCTTAAGGATGTTCTTTGTGATAATTATTCTTCATAAGCATTATATATGACATGTATTATCAATTTTCTAAAGTTAAAGTCATACTTTCGCAATAAGTTTTTTGAAATAGTATAAAAAAGGATCGTAATGTTAAGTATGTTTTATAGCGAAAAGACATGTCCTTCAATTTAATAAACCTAAGCGTGCTAATAAACTTAAGTATGAGATTAAGTCATAACAATAAACATTCACATGATGATTAGAAAATATTTTAATAGTATAGTAGATATTTAAGTGTCTCTCAAGACTTAACAAATTTAATCATATCTCAATCAAGTAAGTTTAAGATTTAAATATTATATATGTAGAAGATAATAAATACTTATGTGTGGATGGAATAATTAATAATTAAGTTGAGATGATAATTAAAGAGAAGAATTGCTCAAAAAATATTAAGACATGTAAGAGAGGTTGAAGGGTAAAATTGGATCAAAACATTTTGTTAACACATAAGGATCGTTGACTAGTGAGTCGACCTGGTTGGTTCTCTATCGACAGTGCATGTCCGTGACTCATTCTAGCTAACATGGAGAATAAGTATTCCGAGTGGGATGAAGGAAGTTGTAGGAGGAGTCGATTTGCTATGAGCGGCTCAGTCTTCGAGTGGAGAAACTTGATTTGGCGATTGGGTAATCTTCTAACTATGTCTCTAGACTACGTCGACGATCCTGCATAACAGGCTTGCACTAGGAGTGTCATGGCTCGACCTATATGATGCTTAAGTCAGGAAAGTAGAGGAGAAGGAAGAGAAAGGTATCAGCAATGTAATCAAGAGAGTAGAGAGTCTCTTTTTCCTTATTTACCCTGGCTTAGCCTAGGGTATGACTTTTATACTTGGGCATTGGGTAGAGTGGACAGGCCTCCATCAAGACTCCTCTTACCCAACGTAGAGGAAACATTTAATGTCAACGGTTTGCTAGTGTATGTTCCCAGGGGCAAGGGACTGTCGGGTTTCTTTCCTTTTTCGGGTTAGGTGGGGCATGGTCCTCTCATTGTCCCATGTGGAATGGAAGGCTGGTGAAGCCGAGTTATGTCATCGACCATTAATACAGAGTTAGGTTTATTTTCTCGATTGCGAGATCGATGAGGAGTGGTTCCCATGGGCCCACTTTGGGAAGTCGAGACAGGTGACATGACTTCTTGTCGGTGATCATAGCGAGTAGGTAGCTTCGGGCCTTTGTTTAGGTATTACTTATGTGACGAGGGAAGCTAGGGGTATCAAGATTCATCCCTATCATATATCATCTTAATCAATCCAATTCAGATTATGTTAAGAAAAAAAAGAAAAAAAACTTATTTTCTTCGATAAAACTTCTTCAATAATTATTCTTATATTCTATTCTTTCTATTAAGCAAGTATAAACTATACTAAAGCATATATAGACAAGACTTTTGAGCATATATTTTATATGAGCATATTTATGTCAAATATGAAAGAAAGTAAGAATAAGATGTTAATAGGGTACTAAGGGACTAGATTGGAGAATATTTTTTTTTAATGCATAAGTAGAGTAACTACACTCATTTTTTTCTAACAAAATGATTGCATACTACTAAACAACAATAGTATAAGTATTAGTCTCATCTCTAATTTACATTTTTTAGTGTCCTCTTTAGATTGTCATTATTGCACACAACCAATCAGAGATCAACATCGGAACTTATGGTCATTGTTGTTGTCTTCATGGCACCATAATCTTAAATATTTTTTTAGGTACAATCATATGCAAGGTACATGGATCTTTGAGCTATAATTAAAGAAAATAAAATAATTTTTTATTTAAATTTTATTATATCTATTTTATCTTATTTTGAATTGTCTAATAATACCAAAGAGACAGTAGAAAATAGTTATTTATGGACAATTAAAACTTGAGATCCAAAATGCTTAGCTCACTTTCAATATGGATCTAAATCAGAAGTGTTATGTATATAACGCATGAGAACTCATGAAAAAAAAAACCTCTTTGGTTATTAATAGGGATGATTTTGCTCCACGCTAATTCATTTGTCATAAAGGTCGATACCTAAGCAGGGCTCCAAGTCACCAGCCTCAAAATAGTATCATAGTACATCCCGATGTGCCCCGCATCTGGTGATAACCGTCATATCTTATTAAGATCAGAGACCAGAATGATCAGACGATTAACCTGATCTTATCTCAACCAACCAATAAGAAGACCTATGGATTAGACATAAAAAAGAACTCATTAGCAGCTCACGTTGAAGGGGGGCTCTCTATATACTAACTCAATCATACAGTTTACACCACTATCTTCTCTCCTTTATTAACTTAAGTATCAGAGGGGTGGCACCAAGCAACCTTAGCGTCGGCCTATCATGCGGGATCACTGGCCGCCCGAAGACACCCAGACAACCCAGCCCCCAGAGAGGAACCTTGCAACTAGGAAAATCCTAGTTCGCCTATCCAATAATCCTAAATCGGATCCTCACTAACAAAATAGCTCACGACTGGATAACCTATGCAATCTCACCTCACAAGTCTCTCACGTTAGTTAGGAAGAAACACCTGGATGAACTTGCACCTTCGGCAGTGGATCAATCAAGCTGATTCATCAATTGATGATACTCATAACACTATCAATTATTATTATAGGAAAGCTATAATAATATATTTATACTATAAAAGAGTACTAGAGGAAAATACCGAAAGATCAAGGCTTATTTTAAGATTCATATCTTTCTTTTTTTTTTTCTTTTTTTGATCAATATAAAAATATATTTTGCTCGCTAATCCATTCTTCTCCCATCATTAAAGAAGGTTTACCTCTTTTGGAAATTCGATGAGGCTTTCTCTTCTCAAGAATCCAGAAATACATTGATAGTATCATATTTTCTATGTTTGTTGGTGAATTTTAGAAACAAAGCCTAATAAAAAGATCAAAGATGATTCCTCTATGATGGGTGTCTTTGGGTCTAACACCATATGGGACCCACTTCAGAATGGTTGGAATCAAATCTTTCCGTATTATTAAGGTGAGAACTAGCCACGGATGAACTAAGGATCTTTAGTGAGGACATCGAACAAATCCATCTCAGATTCGAAGCCACAATAGAAAAACCCAAAGGCTGTATCTATAATTTGTAAATCTTTTGAAAGCTTTCAAACTTTGGAGCATCCATCTAAGGATCCATCTCAAGCCTCCCCTCTATCTTTCCCCTCTCCTTTTTTTTTTCCCCCTCCTTTTGACATTTAACATTCAGTGATGTGACAGATACGATTGAGGTCGGTTACAGCATTTGATCTATTATGACCCGCCCATCCTTACAAACTGACGCTAAAGTAATCACTAACGAACATATTTTGTTGGCAAATATTGCTTATTCTCCTTATAACATAAATTGATCTACTATTAATATAAGGGCTAAAGTCTATTTTAGCCCTTGTAATTTTGGTCATTGACCTTTTAAACCTTTATTGTTTACTCGTATCTAAAATAATTTATATATTTTAAAAAAATATGATATATAAATCCCTTTTGTTAAGTTTAACTTAACAGACGTTAAAATCTATTTACGTGACATGCTAACTCAAATTAAACTATTGATATAATAATATATATAATTTAGGTTTAATGTTCATTTTAACCCATGTAATTTTAGCCATGGACCTCTCAAGCCTTATGGTTTACTCATGTATAAAAGAAAGTTTATATTTTCAAAAAAGTAATATTTAAGCCCATCTCGTCAAGTCTGATTAATAGATGTTAGAGTCTATTTACGTGACATACAAACTCACAATAAACTATTAATATAATGATACATATAATTTAAGTTAAAAAAAACTAAGACCTCCATCAATAACGGGTGACATCGTCATGAAAGCGACCACCAATAGCAGCACCAAGTCGTTGTTGCCTAATAGGGTATCGTACGCAAGCAGCCTTTCCCACACTGACAATGAGCTCAGGAGCTTTCGAAGCCCTACTAGGCACCAGCAACTTGGTGCTGCTGCTGGTGGTCACTTTCACGATGATGCCTCCTCTTGCTATTTATTAATGGTTTATTGTGAGTTAACATGTCACGTAAGCAGATTTTAACGTATTGTCATGGACAAACTTTGAAACAGGATGTTTGATGTAATGCTTATATCTGTCCGTGTCTGTTGGCATGTTCATGCCTTGTACAGCGTGTAGAGGGGCAGCCGAAGGCTTATAAGTCCCATTTTAGTTGGGTTGATGGCATCTTTAGGCTTGTAAATAAAGGTTGTGTCATGTGGACACGTGAGAGAGCTTTTCGGTCTATAATGGACCATTTTACCCTTTGTTGTGCCACTGTTCAGAGCTTGTAAGGTCTGTTTGTAATTTGCATTGTCTATGAAGTGTTTTTCGGAGATGTTTGCTTGTGGATCCCGATTGAGGCGTTCTCTCTTGCCCGTTCTCTCTTTTGTTGGTCCTAAGGGACAATGGGAGTCTTCGGGGAGGCTGACCTTTGCGGACGGACACGCAAGGGTGCTGCACGACTTAGGCAAAACCAGTTAAGTCCGTGTCATATGGTATCAGAGCGGGACAAGCACTCATAGAAACACTTGACATGCAAACGTGGGGG